AAAAATCTGAATGAAGAAACCAACCAGGATTGGTGTTTTTACAGTTTTACTGTTATCGTTTCCTTTGAAATTGGATATCTTACAGATGAGCCAATGCTTGATCCTTCTGGAATTCTTGAACGCTTTAGAAGCATAATGGGACTCTCCATGTATTTCTTCCTTCTCTTTCTCAAGAGGATATAACTATCAATACATTTGTAGAGGTGGGCACAGAATCCTCCCTCCCCACAAAATCTATTTTCATATTTAGGACATGTCAATTTATATTGATGTTCTAATATAAATTGACTCACGCAAGAGCAGGTGATGTATGTGTGCAGTTAGCTGGGTGAATCTGTCAGGACATCCTCTTGCCAAATCAGAAGTTCCCTTGGCAGATTATTCCAGTTGTGTGTTTGCAAGCATATTATACAGTATCAAAAGAGTGTTTTCACTGCAACAGAGTTTGAATGAAACAGCCAGGTGCTTATCTATTCTGCATGCAGACTAAAAAGGAGGATGGGGAATGTGACCTTAGGAAAATGAAAGGCAGACTAAAGAGTTTCAATTATGCTAGTCACATTTTCAAGGCTTTTGGTGCATTTAGAATGCGAGCAGCAAATGGAAACGGAACACCCAAAGTTCTCCTGATGTCTTCAGGTAGGTCTCAAAAGATTGCAGAGCCACTGCTGGTCAATGCAGACAAAGTTAAATGGACAAGGACCTGAAAGGTGTCCATAGGTAACAAGAATGAACATTCATACCCCTCACCCTTGTGCCTTTGTAGGTAAGCAAAATAAAAATTTTACAGCTACTATACTAGTGTGCAAAGTGAAGAAAATAAGTAAGAAATTGCAAGCAGGATACAAGAGAACATAAAATGACATCCAAAGAAAACTAGTTTACACCAGCACCATTCATGATGCCTTTCTCTCTCCTTGCAAACCATTCTTGCTTCCATCACATCCATTCAAAAATTACTTTTCCGAACTTCCCACCTTTCTCTTGCCAATGTCATCCGAGAACAATGTTTCAGTTTTGCCTTTCCTCTTGACTCATTCACTTTTCCCTTATGTATTTGGTTTGTGAGTCATTCTTCTTTCATTCTCTCTTTATGATAAACCACCTTAATGTATTTCTTTAATATGGATCACTCACTTTTGTATTCAGTCCACATTCATTCATTCGCTCGCTCGCTCGCTCATTCATTCATTCATTCATTCATTCATTCATTCATTCATTCATTCCCCATTCATTCTTGATTTCACTTCTTGCTGTACCATGCGCTCTTCATAAGTGCCCTATTCCCCTTGCATTCCACCTGCTTTACTTCTTCCTGACCTACCCAACTCTCATGTCCATATAAAAAATTGGCAGAAGCACATTTTCGCACACAGCCATTTTTCACTTTTCAGTGAACATTCATTCTTCAAAATGGATCACATACTGCTCACTAACTTTCTACCAGCAAAAGTTCCCATCCGTTCATCCATCTTTAGAAAACATTTTATATATTCATATTCAACACGTATTCATCCACTTGTTCTAATTTTTCTCCATTAAGCATGGCTTGCAATTTTTCATTTTTCCTGTCAAACACAGCATATTTTGCTTCAAATTCACATCTCTTCTGGAGGTTATATTCCATCTTTCCCCCCTTTCTTCCCCCCTCCATTCTGCATGTAAAAAAAGTAGCCCCCATGAAATCCCAATCTAATATGGCATTAAAGACAATCAACTTACTAAAATCATTGTATATTAAACTTTGTGGCCAATATCTAAAGTTATAGGTATGATTTTCCCCCCTTTCCTTCTTTCATACAGTATGTTGACAGTCACATTTTGGCTCATGTTCTCTAGGGTCAGGACCAAACAAAGATTTTAAACAAATGTAAACAAATTAAACAGTACAAGTTTTCATTTAATATTTTCTAGACTGTATCTCATTAATCTTCCTGAAATTAAAAATTTCCATAAAATGCTGCATAATACTCGAGTAAGCCTTATAGTTTCTAGCAGCATGTATGAAAATAGAAGGTGATATCTGTCAACAGAAAAGATTGTTTTAACAGCCAACCAAGAATGCTTTGTGCTAATAGAAACCTGGCTGAGCAAAATCACAGCAGCTGCATTTAAGACACAATTTATGACTAAAGGAATAATTTCGGTCTAGACCAGAAGAGCCAGTTTCCCCTCTAATCAGGTAACCCCCGTCAGCCAAATATTGTAATATTAGATTCAACCATATAGATTAAACTGAGTCCAACAAGTGTTAGGTATGTTTTAGCTGAGCAATCATCCTTTTCTTTTCTCTCACTCTCTCTTTTCATTTACTTTTTCAGGAATGACTTTTGATTCATTGTGATTAAATATTACACAAGTATATAAGATACTCTGTTTCTTATACACAATCCAGAAACCCTATTAAGATATGAAGAAGCTTCATTCCAAGTCTGAAATGGAAAGTCAGGATTACAAAGTGGCCATTCCTACAAATCTCCTCTTCCACACTTCCTTTCAGACTGGTTTTACTTTGTTTTAGGCTGGACAAGCATTAAAAGGAAATTGAGAAGCCCTGTATACAAATCGTTGTCCACGTTCTGTCCAATGTATCTAGATGGTGAGCATTCCTACAATAGCCCAAATGGAAATGGAAAATATCTAGTCTTTGTCCCCGTATCAATGTACATAAATCTACTGTTATTTTTATGTAGCAGTGCTGCTGGAGTCACAAGAATAGACATTATTTCTCCACTGAGCTGCATTACAGGGGAGTTGTTAGTCCAGCTTTTCAGTTGTGACTAACTCATATTACAGTACCATAGCTAGTAGCACCCTTTAATGAACCAAAGCAAGTTATCATTCTCAAGTGAAGGTACTTCTGATTAAGAGACCTAGCTGGACTATCAAGATATGGCCTTGGCAGCTTCAAATTCAAATTTCATCATTACAGCAAAATGTCAGCAATCTTGACAGCTTCCAATGTCATCCTGATCAACTGTCCCAATACCTTCCCCCAAAAATGGAATGAATGAGTGAATGAGTGAACGAATGAATCTTTATTGCAGTTATTATCCATAAAAAGGAAAGGAAAGGAAAGGAAAGGAAAGGAAAGGAAAGGAAAGGAAAGGAAAGGAAAGGAAAGGAAAGGAAAGGAAAGGAAAAGGCATTTAAACAGCACAGATTGTCGGTACAAATTGACAATTTATACATTTGTATGCACTTTGCACAATTTGAACAATCATCTTCTAGTGGACCTTGTACGCTTAGCCACATTTAAAGACATTACATAAGTTGAATCTGATAATAAATAAGTTTAGTAACCTGCAATAAAACAGTATGTGCATTATTCTTTCCAAGCTTTTATTCACCTCTTCTCCCACGCTGTCATGTGAGGGGCATCAAAGAGGCTACAATCTCTCCCCTGCAATACGTTGGCAAGGTTATCCTATTTAACTACCTTCCTAGTTTTATCTTTTAACTTGGCTGCCCAAAAAACTTTCCCAACGCACATGACTTAGTTCTACTTACCAGTCAAAATCATAGACTTTTTGTCTAATCACTGTTCTGGCTTGTTTATATCTTATTTGTGTTAGAAGAGTTACAAGAACACAATTCAAGGAGCAACTTCCTCTCCAGTGAGCACTTCCATTTTTCCAACAATACTAATGTGTTAATTTAATTTCAACCATAATTAATTGTGCCATCCATCTCCAACCAAACCAGTGCATTATCAATAAAAGTCTGGATAATTTTTCTGGACTACAGACAGCTAATCTTCTAATTTCTTGGGTTCTATATAGTACAAGACTTAGCTAAGTATAGCTGGGATATGCTGGGATAAATTGGGCACCCCTACCTGGATAAAAACATAAAATGGATGTTTTAGGGCCCTGGGCCTCTAAGCTCCATAATTTAAGTGAGCTGTCCAGTTGCCTGTAGCTTGGAAGATAGATATTTAAAACAGGAACCCTGTTCAGCTTTATGGCCACCTAGGTACCAGTTAAGAAATCTGGGGCACTTAAAAAACATTATTATTGTAATTTTGGTATGATTTATTTCTAATGCCAGTTCTTTGTCATAGGTAGAAAAAGCATACAAAACATGAAGACGTTTTGGGAAAACAAAGCAGCTATATCTGTATGAAGCAAACTATCTATTTCTCAGCTGTGCCGGATGATGGCTCAAACCACAAAATTATGGAACAAGAGAATTGATGTTAAAATTAAACAGTAATGGCACCAAAATGCAACTTTCTCTCATACCTCAGAATTTATTTGGTTCATCTAATATACATGTTTATGTGGAAACCTTAATATAATTTGTGTACTTCTGTGAGAAGGCAGAGAAATCTCCTACGGGATGCCAGATTGAACTCCTTCTGAAGTTTGCAAAGGCAATACCCAATGCCTTGAATCATTTGGTAATTGGTTTTTCTACCAGATGTTGTAATATTTATGCCTGATCTATGTAACAGCTGGCCCTGAAGCTACCTGTTCCATCTGCCAAATTATCTTCATTCTCAAACCAATCTGTTAACTTCTCATGCAAATGTCTGGCATAGATTTGTTACACATATTCATTCAAATAAGAAGTCTTCAATGGACAGTGAGTTAGTCGTTTTACAATGCTTCCATAATTACATTATCCTAAAATACATGCTTAATAGTTTCTGCAACATAGAATCATAAGGGAAGTTTTGAAGTATTATCAAAACATATGGATACAATCCAGTTTAATCCTTTTATCCATAATATTATCAACACTAACAGCCCTTTGTACCTTCTGCATCTGCTTTCAAGAGTCATAGGAATGAAGATGCAAAAAAAGGAGACCAGTTGCATTATTAAAATGCTGTTTGTATTATACCCTATATACCTTTTGTTTTTACGCCCTGATGATACAGAACATCAGGACTTCCTTAGCATGATACAGCTGTGAGCCCCCTTTGTAAATTCTGTGCATTCTATATAACTTTTGATTTCATGCTGTGATGATAAGGCATATCAGGACTTCCTTACCATGGTGTAACTGTGAGCCACCTTCATAAGTTCTGTGCAACCTTGAGCATCTGCAAATGCCCTGATTCCCAAACAGTTGGATGGATGTAAAAGCTTCATGAGGAAATGACAACACACTTCAACTACTTGAGGGAGTTGAAGAAGACAGGCAGCTGCCAGAAGGTTTTCAATTGTATCTTCCTTAAGTTCCAAACAACCTGTATGAGACATTAAGAAACATAATCAGTTTTCTACCCATATTTGTGCATAACGTAGATCCAGATGTTAAGATCACAAAACGTGTAAGCCGTTGTGACAGCAGATGAAACTAAAATTTATGCAATTAGTACATCATTATGTTTTTCCCTTGGAACCCTAAGGGGAAAAAAATAACACTGTTTTCTCTTTTCTCTGTACTCTTCACTAAGTTCTCCTTTATCAAATATCAGCAGCTAGTTCACTGCAGTTCAGGAAAATCTGGCATACAATATTACCCCATGGTATTTGCATCGTACTATTAAACAAATTAAATATTTAATGTTTGGAGAGATACTTTTCTCTGAGACCTGCATTCCAATTTTTTTTTCACTGATGGGGGGAAACTAAGGGAAAACTGGGACCAATAGTACCTGTGTTTTAATGTTCAGGTTTTAGAAATTTTAATTAACAGATTGAAAAGTATATACTTCATAAATCACTGTACAATCTTCGACTTTACAATCTAGCAATAGTCTTGCTGAAATTTACCAAGGAATCAAATTAAGGTTTTGGTTTTGGTTTACATTAAATGCATTTCACTTCATTAATTTCATTGAGAAAAATTGACTTGCAGATTTAAGTCTAGATAAGTGAAAAAAAAATTAACTATATACAAATTGATCAGTTTACACCATCACCAGGACACTAATCCTGTTTCAGACAAACCACCACGAGAGCAAAATATGAGTGTATATTCTAGCTCTTTGTAATAGATGAAATTTAATTTTTAATTTTACATCTATGTCATTTCAAAATAATAGGCTTCATGTAATCCTACTATATACTCTACCTGCAAAACTAATAACTGCTCTAGTCTAAACCCTAGACTTTACACTTTGGGGGTGGGGGCGGCAATCGGTTGGTGAAGAGCCTGGAAGAGAGTTGGGCCTATCCTTTTATTTCCATTCATCTAGGTATGTGGGGTACTTCAGCTAAAGTCAGTAATGGATAAAACCCCAGCTACGCACGCTCACTCATGCTAAGTCTGGTTGTGCTCAGAAAGCCTGACTGTGTAAGTGCCGACAACAGAGGTGAGCATGAAAAAAAAAATTTTTTTTGTCTAGTTTTCCATTCACTTGAATTTCATTATTGCCCACTTGTTCTTTTGAATGTTTGTTTCCATTTCCCTTTTTTTCCATTCAGCTTTCAGTCTCATAAAAATTATGACTTGGCCGTTTTAGTCTAAGCCTAAAAAGGAAAGACGCTCCGACGTCAGGCTAGACTCTGGAGGACTAAATGGGCACTCCGTGCAGTACAGAATTGGGCCATACAGAACAGCTTTGCTATTTCCATCTTCCATCTTGCTTTCCAACTTCCAGCGTTCTGGTCACGTCCTCAGTCCTCTGCTAACTTGGTTCTACTCACTTAGCTCCCAAACCCAGATTTGGACAGCCAGTTCTGTCACCTGCTAAGACTAAGGTTTGGACCTGCTGCATTTCAGAGGAATCAACCTCAATGGACTAGAGCAAATAGAATGGAAATGTAATCAGTGCTAGACTAGTCCCACTGAATTCATTGGGATTTACATCATCCTCGACTTAAAACCCCTGATTCACAATATCTACTCTACTTGTAAGTATTATTACTTTGGACCCAACTCAAAATCAATAAGTAAAAATGAGATGTTAAATCCCAAGGCTTCCAGTTTTGAAGCAGGAATTGATTAAAGTGGGAACGAGAAAAATGCATTAAGTAAGGTGAGGAGATTTATTGGACATAATATGAAAATAAAGGCTATTGAGTACTTGCAGATGTTAATAAATTTGCCTCAATTTTTGTCAATTTCTAAGTAAACATTTAAATTTAATCTGGCCACCAAAGCATAAATTAAGTTAATAATCAGAGTGATAAATATTTCAGATGTTTGCCTCTTTATTTAAAAGTAATTGAGTAGGATAATTTTAGGATGAATTGTCCACAGGGAGAAAAAATAAAGCTGAGAGATATTTTAAGCTGTGGTGATATTCTAGGCCTCAAAGGCCAATTGCTGACTGAAATTACACTTGACGTTGATGCTGCAGCATTCATCACATTAATTTTTATATTTTGGTTTAGATTGACATCCATCCTCGGGGAAGAATGAAGTAGAAGAGATTCCATTTATGAGTTTCTGAGGAAAAAAAAAAAAAACTCATCGCATATCAGGGAAAAGTAAAGGTAGCATACTATCAGTTCATAAAAATGAATAAAGTTTGGGCTGTCACGGTAATGCCAAATCCAATATTAATTATTAAGTGTGGAGGAGCCTAATGTAACGTTGGGATCCCTTTCTAAGATGGTACCATCTTGACAAGTATCTGTTCTTGTTTTATTTAAAATGTAGGGCACCATTGGGACGGGGTGCCTGAAGTGTTGGCTGCAGCCAGGGAGATCTGGGGTGAAGTCTGTCCTCAGCCATGGAAGCTCCCTGGGTGACTTTGGGCCTGTCCCTCTCTCTCACCCTAACTTACTTCATAGGGCTGGGATGTGGGCAGAAGTAGAAAGAGGAAGTCCTAGGTTTAACTCCTCAGGGAAAGGTGGGGTTAATTCCAACAAATAAATAATGATTTCCCATTATATGCAGGATAATGAATTCCAACACATCTCTTGGATACCAAACTAGGGAAGATGAATGGACAAACTGTAGAACAGGAGCCATCCATCTCAGAGTCCCTGTGTCCTTCAACACTTTCACTTTTACATTGGCCTTCAGAGATCTTCTTTATCCCTTAAGCATGGGGGAGAAGGCAGTTCCTTGCTCTGCTCAGGTGTATATATTAAGATGAATATCTATACATGCTAAAAAATTACAGGTAACATATGGCAACATATTCCATTGCACAATGTTAAAGAAATTTCCTTTTGTTCTAAGACAGCTCCAAGAACACATGAATATTAAATAAATCAGTGGCAAGACTGCCACAAAGATGAGATTAAAAATGTATATTGAGCTTCCCTCGCCTGTATCCAATATATTTTTATTCCTGTCCATTCTCTGAGCATTAGAGCCCTGTCAGCCAGGCACGCATGTCCATCTAGTCCACTGCTTCTCCAATTCCTCCCCAAGCATGCTACAAAGTTCCATAGATTGGTCACGATCAGAGCAAAGATACTCAGTGTGTGGCTTATTTACTTATTTTACCATAATCATCTAGTAGAAGCCATGATAAAGTCACACATGTCACAATGTCACTGTGCAAATACCACTAATTATGACCCCAATTTTCCCCTTGGTCAACTACGGAGGTCATGTTTGTGCCTGATGTTTCTAGCCTCAAAGGTGTCCATAAATCTCTAGATCTACTACAGAGCCCTAAGCTTAATCTCTTATCATCCAAATAACATCAGGCTCTAACCAAAGATATCTAAGAGATAATTAAGATTATATTTTGTAACTTTTTTTTACTTGGATTATTTTGCAGTGTTATTACTACTGGCCAATATATTATGAAACTAAACAACCAGTCAACCCAGCATATTGTTTGCATCAGGTTATCTTCTCGATTTCATTTGCATATTTCACCTTTTGTAATAGAATATCTCCCCATTCATCAGTTTACAAAGCACCTCCAGCGATTTTGTTCTAGAATAGGCTCTAAAGTTACTAGAAGGTCTGGAAGCAAGAAAAATAGCTTGTCAGAAGACATCTGAATAGGAAAATTGGCAGTGAAGAATGAACAGCTTCATCCATCTGCCAATCCTATATAACCTCGCCTACCTATATAATCTCAGGGAGCCCATATTTTGTTTACGAATATAGGATTTTCACCTCCCCTTCATAACAACATAGTCTGATCTTCTCAAAGTCCCTTTCTCTGGACATAAGTTAGGGATGGCTGGCAGTAACTAAGCCACTGTAAACTGATTTATCAGCCCATCCTGAGCCAGCAATTTGTGTCACTCCCTCTGCCTATATTTCTGACACGGGTGAGCATAGGATATCTGTCTTCAGTTGAAATAGCAACAGCAATTAACAGGTCCTGGGAGTACCATGTAGCCTTTCCTTCCCTACAACCGTGGTTCTGAACAATAACAAACAGTAACTGAAGCACGAGATGTGAATTTTTAGAGAAGGGTTCTCATGCACAGCTCCCAGTGAAATAGATAGAGGACACACGTGTGTGCAAATGAATGAAAGCATAGGAGGAGGGGAGTCTAAATGCAAACACCACATTAAAATGGTCTGAAATAATAATTTTGACTGAGAAAGGATGAGACAGATATGAAATGGAACCACCTGTGATTTAGTCTACCTTGCTAAAACCTACAGATTTCTACTCAGGTAAAATCTCAAAAAAGTTGCCTGCAAGTATCTTTCTGCTTGAAATGGTAATCTTTCTTTAACACACAGTATTTGCATGTTAAAGAAAGCAGAGAAACTGCAGGAAATTGCTAATATCATTGTACTGAAAATGTGGATGGAAAAGATTTACCAGAAATGACTTCTGTGCAAACTTTTTCCTTTTACTATTCTCAGGCACATTCTAGGTTTTTCAGTGTCAACAGAAGAGGAACGTGATCACATCCATGAACTCTACCCAGGTTTTGCATATAGTCTATCCTATGCATATATACATTGCATTTGCCCATTTCAGTCCTGCACACACCCTTATTATCATGTTAAAAAATGCAGAGGCTCTGTGTATAGTTTGATATCTGATTCTGCTCCTTTGCCTTGACTGAGTTGATACAATGCACGTCATAGGAACTAACATTAATAGTAAATAAATCTAGGAACTCCCTTGAGCATTCCCAGTAACAGAACTGGCATGCTTTTGGATAAATACAAGTGGGTGCTTTTCCATTTGTAAGCTGTAGAACTCGCAATGTCAAATAACTGATATGCTGAGGTTATAGCCCCAAGGCGACTGTTCTGATTTAAAACCAAACAAATGACAACCATGTTGAATGTCAGCATTAAGTGTCGGTCCTTATGCCAACAAAAAACTCTTGTAAACCCTGGGTCTATTTTGAGACCCAT